ACGTACACGTATCGTACTAACTACTAACCTATTAGTGTTAGTATGATCTAGCGTAGTGTGGTCGAGTCGATGTGAGACGCATATATATATATATATATATATATATATATATATAGAGAGAGAGAGAGAGAGGGAAAACACTACACAACGCCCATAGGCGAAAAGAACAGTGATTTCGTCTACCCCCATCACCGTCCAAAGTTCATCGTGCGGTCACGATTGTCCGGCGGTGTTTCATTTTTAATTTTTTTTTCTACAAATCGAAATGACCTGAAATTTGGAGCGTGTATTCATAAAAAATAGGGGAATCTTCGAAAGTTATAAAAAAAATATTTTACATTAAAAAAATTAACCAAAATACCCCCGATCAATTTATTTTTGGTGGATAATTTTTTTATATTTTTATTATATGCGCCTTAGTAAGATGTACATACCCTCCAAATTTCAAGTCATTCGAAATCGTAGAAAAAAAACGAAAAATAAAACACTACCAAACAATCGTGACCACGAGATGAAATTTGGACGGTGATGAGGGTAGGAGAAATTACTATTCATTTTCGCCTATAGGCGTTGCAAAGACTTATATATATATAAGATCTATTTTTCGAGCATATATTCAAACAACTATTCAATCAATTATTAAAACAGTACAGTACAACAGTAATTAATTTCTAAAATTATTAATCATATAACATAAATAGACAGACAAGCATATGAACAATAAAAGGGGAGAAACATCTATAACTAACCAATTAGTGTAAGTAATTGTCCTTAATGTTATACAGAAAATAAACTTTACTTGCATAATTATTGCAGATAGATTTATTACAAAAGGGAGAAAACTTACATCATACACTTGCAGTAACTAGCAAACAACTTCCACTCCTTAGGATAAAAACTTGGCAAAGTATGAAATTACAATCACACATAAAACCTTACAATCACTCGATACTCGATTTTGTACTGGCTTTAGACACACCACCTAATATACAGTATTTTTTCACAGATGAGACAGAATATAGACAGAGAGGTTTTAGAAATATTTCAGAGAGATTTCAGAGGGATTTCAGAGAGATTTCACAAAGATAACAGAGAGATTTCAAAAAGATAACAGAGACTGCATTAGAGGGAGAATAAAGACTTCAAAGAGATTTCAAGTGAATATTAGATATTGCAGAAGGAGAGTCAACAGAGGAATAGGATTAAAATACCTTTTGAGGTGAGTGGAAGCTTCAAGCTTTGTAATGGATGGAAGACAGTGGACAGTAGAAGAGAAATACTAGAGGGAGGAAAGTAACTAGGAGAGAGAGAGAGAACTCAGACTCTTTCTTCCGATAATCCTTCAAGTGGTAGAGTCCCCCTTTTATAGGAGACGGACCTCAAATTTTATGAACTGCTTTTTGTAATTGGAGGCCACGTTAAAAGAGTGAGCAATTCCGTTGAATGACTAAAAGGTCTGGCACAGTGACTTGAAGAGACTAAAAGTGAAACAGTAACAGGGAAAGATCTGTCGACAGCATCTTGCACAGTAAAAGGTAGTGTCGGCAGCAACATCTAGGAACAGTAATATATTGGTGACTTGACTGATGGTTGGCTAGTAGCAGACAAATGGTATTAATATTCTGGCAGCATCTTCTGGTGACAGTTGTACTTCTGGATGGTATTTATTATTGTCGGGTCGATTCTTCGGGCTTCTAAGGAAAATCTATTTTTGGCTGTATAAGCTCGCAATCCTCATTTTCTGTAGCAAAATCTTCATCATTTGTTGAAGTTGACATTGCTTCTGCTTCTTCTTCAAACATCTGTAGTAGCTGGCTTTTTAGTTCTTCTTTGGTGGCTTTTGGATTCTGCTGTTTCATCTTGCTAATGTAATCAGCAAGATTACTTTCCTTCTTTTGTTGAACGGGGGAAAGGATTTTTCTTAATTAGATATTTTCGGGGTCTATTGCAGTATTTTCATATAGATCCCACCATACCATTTTACATATATCTGTTTTCCTAATTTTGGGATGTATTCCCAATTGTGGGTATAATCCTCAGTTATTGCATAGAACCATTTCATGATCCATGGAATTTGATAAAAAGCCATAAAGTATAAATGAAGGTCTATTTGGGGGTTTTTATCATTGTATTCAGCAAATCTTTGTTGAGACATCTGTATTTTGTCTGGTAAAATTTCAGATCCAGATCTCCAAATCTGAAACCAGTTTTTAAACCAATTTGGAAATCCAGTTACTACTTGTAGTTTTATCTGTAGAAACCAAGTGTGAGTTATTGCTATTTTGGAGTGAAAAAACTTTATGCCACGCATCAATGTATTCAGCATACTTGTAATATGTATTAATGAATTCAGGCGCAATAAGCTTTCTGCTTTTCATAAGGTCCGTACCCCATTCTTTGTAGGATATTATTTTTCTTATTTGAAATTTGGAATATGCAACTATGTTAGTATTTCTTTGACAGAAATGAACCAAGGTTATGGAGCCTGTTTCTAGAAGAATGGCCTCATACCATTCTACAGTTTTATTACTATTAAAAGGGCTCAAGTTGTTTATTAAATATAGACTGGCCAAATGAGCTGGATCCATATCCAGATGTTCTTCTTCTATTATTGAATCTATAAGAAAAACAGTTTCTATAAATAATGATTTTGGTTTTTCTGAAGTTGGGGTTTTGATAAGGCTAGGAGAAGAGACAGGATCTCTGGCTTGTCTTGTTATTAGGCGGTTTGGAGTTATTGGGGCATTTATAAGGGAATTTCCTGATGATGAAAGATGGAACTATGTCCATTTTGCCTTTTCCTATATTATTTATATTCAGGATTATTCGTCTATCAACATTGGTGCCTCTATCCCGATCCTCCCTGCAAAAATTCACGTGTGAGAAAGTCAGGCAGGAAATTAGTATGACCTTTAATATCGAAGTCAAAGGAGGAGAGAATTGCTTGCCATCTGGCAAAAATTTGTTTAGAAACAAGATTTTTAACATCCTTGAGCAAGATATCTTTTGCAGCTTTACAATTTGTCCGTATAAGAAAGTTTTTATTTAAAAGGTCACTTTGGAATTTGGTAACACAATGAACAATGGGTAGTATTTCCTTTTTTACCGTCGAATAATTTTGCTGAGCATTACTCCAAGCTTTTGATGTATATCTAACTAATTGTTCTTTTTCTAAAATTATTTGTTTTAAAATTCCTCCTAAGCCTATTTCAGAGGCATCACATTCAATTATTTTGAAAGTATTAGGATTAGAAAGAGTAAGACAAGGTAATTCCTTAGCCTTTCTTTTTATTTTTTTAACGGCCATGGTATGCTCATCTTTCCACTTTCGTGGAATCTTTTTTAACCTTTCAAATAAAGGTTTAGCATCAATGGCCAAATTTTTATAAAAATCTGATATATAATTTAGACACCCCAAAAACCTTTGGAGTTCTGTTCTGTCTAAAATAATATCAGAGAATTTACTGGCAAATTCTAGTGCTCTATCAATCGGAACGATATTATGGCCTAAAAACCTTATTCTTGTTTGGCGAAGACTAAATTTCTTAGCCGAAACTACCAAACCTCCAGTTTTTATGGCATGAATAAAAACATTTATATGTTTTTTCTGAAAATATTAATACATCATCTATGTAAACAATCATGAATTTTATATATGGGTTGAAAATATCATTCATAATATTTTGGAATTCTGAAGGAGTGTTTTTAAGCTCAAAGGGCATTACGTTCCATTCATACTGTCCAAATGGGACATTAAAAGCAGTCTTATATCTATCTTTTTCAGTTATTTGTATTTGCCAATATCCTGATTTTAAATCAAATTTAGAGAAGATACAGGCATTTACAAGTCTATCTAATAAATCTTTCTTATTAGGGATTGGATAACTTATCCATTTTAGGACTTTATTCAGAAGTTTGTAATTTATTATTGGTCTGGGCGCTCCTCTTTCCTTTTTTGAGGCCTTCTCGACGTAGAAAGCTGAGCAGCTCCAAGGAGACGAACTTTTTCTGATTAGCTGTTTCTGAAGCAACTCATCAATCTCTTTTTTACATATTTCAAGAAGTCTAGTCTGAATAGGCCTAGCTTTGGTGGGTATATTATTTTCATTAAAATTCTCTTCATAAGGTAGACTTACAAAATGCGTTTTTCTATTCCAAAAAGCATTTGGTAAAGTCAACACATATCTCATTTTCTATTTTCCTTTTAATTTCAGAAATAGCTTTTATATTTTCTAGAAGAGAAATCTTTTCATCTATTAATTTGTATTTTATTTCTTCTTTTAAATAATTTATAAACTTTCTTTGCTTTCAATTGTTTATTTAACATTATTTATTTCTTTTATCTTTGGTT